TTTTTTGACACTCCATCTAGATATATTATATAGGATATGGTGTATACCTATTGTCATATAATAATAATAGTACAACACAAGCAAATAGGAGATCTGCATAATCTCGATGTAAAATTATTTAAATCCTAGCAGATTAATGACGTACCACATCCGTCTCACAAAAGCTTGCGTTGAATTGCTCTTCGCTGAAATATAAATAACGTGTAGCAATAAACTCTAACATGTCGTCGTGACGTCATTGCAAAAAAATGGCGGGAGAAATCAGCTGTTTACACCACGGCAGCGTCCATTCAAGATTTTTCTAAATTTAAATTCGAAGCAAAACATATTTCTGTGGCGTGCGAAAGATTTTAAAAACAAACAGTATACAAAAACAGCTTACATAAATATTCGTACGTTCCCTGGGTATTTCGATGTATTTCATTGTTCGTCTCTATCTAGATTTTATCATTGGTTTAATTATAATTTGCAGAACTTTCTATATGTGTAATACGAGTACTTGTTAGGTGTAATAGAAAAAGTGGAAGTAATAAAATCACATGTTTCATAGTTTCATAGTTTTTTATTTTATACAGCCCTTAAACTATATTATGAGATTGAACAAAAAATTTATTGGTTAAGAATCTGATTAACTTATTATTTAACAAGCTGTTTATATTACATACAAATTCGAAGATATTTACATACTTAGATACATTTCATACTTACACTTGAAAATTGACGGTGGTGTCTAAGCTATATGCACAGATATAAGTAAATATAGGTATATTATAGAGACAGAGGACTGTCTCTATCTAAACCTCTAGAGTCAGTGTCCTCGTATGTATAATAGGGTTGCTAACTTTTATTTATAACCTTTCTCTTTTTCACCCGGGACAAACATACTTTGTTTATGTACTTATTTTTTTATGTATACACATACTGCATTTTTTGTTATATTCAGTTTTATTTAGACTTAACCGACTTAAAAAAAAGAGAGTCATCATTATAAACCGATTTGGATTTTTTATTATCTGAAGTCATATATAGATATATTAACTCTTGAAAAGATTATGCTACAAATATGCATATTAAATATGCAAGTAGGTAAGTAGTACTTATTTATTTCCGCCGCCGCGACCACTTGTACAAATTACTGAAACACGTGGAAATAATTATTACACTCATTGTTAAAATAATTTATAGTTGTTCAGTAAACGCGATTTAACATTTAATCACCGCATCGAGGTGAACAAATATTTTAACGAACGGCTGGATTCGCATTTAAATATAATGGCGTAATCTTGTAAAACATGCTAGGTACTTGAGACATGCAAATTATTTAGTTTCGCTGCGTAATCCACATGTTTTTTTAATCGACTGCAAAAAAAGAAAGAGGGACGTATTTCGGTTAGAACTCCGTTATTTATAAAATGATTTTGGACATTTTTTTTTATCTGAAAGAACGTGCTTTTAGGTTGGTCTCATAGGAATTTTATCAAAATCGATTCAGTACTTTGATTTTTAAACCAAATTATTGGTTTTTCATGATAGAAGTATTTTTTTGTGATTTTTTTTAAAAAACAAACTACTGGTTATTAATATTGGTCGTTTAAATTTATTAATACGAAGATCTTTATATTCCAGCTATTCATTTAATATGATAAACATATTTTAATAAAAAGAAAAAATAGTAATAAACATAACACAGCGACATCTACACCAATACTAAGCAGAACTTTATTCCTGCATAGTATAAAACAAAGTCGCTTCCCGCCGTCTGTACGCTTAGATCTTTTAAACTAAGCAACAGATTTTAATATGGTTTTCATCAATAGATAGAGTGATTCAATATGAAGGTTTATAGGTATAATTTAATATTGTTTTGTATTAATTTGTTAAAATATGACGGTAATTGTTCAAGACGTCAGAAGGAATCAAGTCGACAGAGAGCTTTAATTGAAAATGCCTGAAATATGACAAATTAATGTATAGAATTGCTCCTCTTTTTAGAACTACAAAATGTCGGCAATAGCATTCTATATTATATATAGATAGATTTCCATAACCTTATAAAATATTAATATAATTTAAAATATGCAAAAATATCACGGTTTCTGTCTTAATTAAAATTAACACTTTTCAGTCAATTACCCCATTAAACCAAAAATATAATACTTTGCCAATTAAACATGTCAATATGTAACGTCGAAGATGGATATCCGCCAAATTTATTCTGGCCTAAGAGAAAGTCCGTGGTTGTCTGGACTCGACCTTGGTCTTTATCAGTCTATTTTAGCGCTGCATCAATAATAACGAAGCTTTGGCATAGTTTCTGACGAAAATTTTTCGAAGTATAGTATATACTCCCTACCTACCACGTAGGGGGGAAGGGAATGTTAGCAATGGAGTTTGACAGCCCCATTGCTAGCAATATGCCCTATCAGGTCAACCTCCACGTGGTTCCGCCTGGAAACCATCGTGAACAATTTTCGTTGAATTCATCACGATGGGCCAACTGATGAGGATGAAACACCTCATCTATCATCCTTCACTGGTGCCCCGCCGGTGTATACCGATAGCGCGGGTGGGGTTACTATTTCATTATCACCTATAAAAAAAACCTACCACGTAAGGAGCCTGGCATGAATATAAATTTAATTAAATAAATTTTGTTAATTTTCTGTAGTGGTAATTATCTGATCACCATAGCGAGAAAGGGTTTGTGAGGGTGAGATTTTTTCTCATTGCTGATGATGTACCCTGTTTTTTTTATGTATGATAAGGGAATACTAATCCCGCCTACGTTAACAGCGTTAACAACGCTAGCGGGGCTCTAACGAGGGATGATAAGTGAGAATGAAAAGGCAGGTCAGCCCATCGTGATGATCACTTGGAATTCAGCACTATAGTTTCCAGGCCACGGGGAGGTCAACCTGGTTGGGTATATTGCTAGCAATGAGACTGGTAGTCCGCAGTACTAATAATCCCTTCCCCCAATGTACCCTATTAAGTCGACCTCCCCCTGGGAACCCTTAGGTAAATATCCTACTAAATTCACCATGACGAACCAACTGATTTAAACCAATAGCGCAGGCGAGGAGACCATTCCACTTTCACCTCATAAAAAAAAAAATATTCCATCGCTTATAAGTGCAAGAAATAATCAAAATTCTACTAGTGAAACTGAATTCCCGAAGTATCATGTGTTCAGAAACGACAAAATATTTTGAGCCTCATATACTAACACAACAGCCAACCAGCCAGCCGGTGGATGTAGTGGCTTGGGACCGTTCCTTACGAAAGTCTATAAGAGAGGTCTATGTCCAGCAGTGGACAGTTAACGACTGATATGACGATTAGTAGATTGTGTACTAACACAACGCATCAACTACAGGTATCAAATTAGTATGAGAATTCGAAATCAATTCTGTCGTTAGAATCGTTTCAGTTAGCGTAGATGACTTTGCCATTCGTATAGAGTTACTGACTCACAAACGCAAAAAAAGGAAAACTCGAAATAAAACCCTGTAAAAAAGTGACTCTCGAATCAATGATGATGATATGTTTATTTACGATGTTCTGGTACTTATATTAAAACTCAAAATCTAAATATTGATTATTAAGCTTTCACATTGTCGTGTAGCTTACACGATATCTCAACATTTCTCGGTCAGACTCTGAGGTCAGGCTTCCGAGTTTGAGCTATTAAGTTCACGTTATGACTCATCAAGCATCCAGTCTATACAGTTTGCTTCGTGTTTACCGTTAACTCAACATATTCACGAATAATTTAGCAGTCTCTGTAAAAAGCTTTTTAATGTCAAAACAAATATTAAACAAGTACGCTTAACTGTCATTTAATATTGTGATAATTAATTTAATTCTTAGATTTGGAGATTTATAATTTTATAAGCGATTTTAAAAAGAAAGTAGTTCTCAATTCAACGATATTTTTTCTTTTAAATTAACAGACATATTTGCTGATATTTGAAACGATTAGAAGTCATCAAATCAGTGGGGTTTTGTTGCGATTAAAGTCGGTGCAATATCCTAAATTATATCCATTAAATATATAATATACATTGGAATTAGTGTACTGGGTATTACTGTTTTCAAATATATATTATATATATATATATATATATATATATATATATATATATTGCTATATGTTGCTATATTGTGCACACCCCTAGTTTATAAGCGATGGTTATTACTTTCTATCAAGCTGATCCTCAACTTGTTTGTCATTCCAAATTACGTAAAATTAGTACCACATATTAGTTCTTTTAAAATTCACAGTAGCTATAAGAACCCGTGGCTTATCGCGGTGTTCCGTCAACACCAAGGTGAATTTCTAAAAATAAAATAGATTAATTAACTGACACGAAATAACTGCGTGTAAACGTTTCACGTTGCAAGACCCAAACTGAACCCAACCTTTTTAGACTACATTTACTTCTTTCAGAAAAACTAGAAGTAATGATATATGCGAGGATTACCACTTTCCACCAGGTGGTCAGCTTATTTGGCATTCCAAAATCTATAAAAGACCTTTTTGTTCATATATACCTGAATAGGAATACCAGAATATATAGTTATTCCTTAGTGAGTGGAAGAAATGTATATTATAAGGTTAACTTGAAAATCATAAACTAAATCCGAGAACCGGAGTGAGACTATACAAAAGTAATAAAGTCTTAAGATATCTCTGTCTCACTCGTATTTCTGCCGTGAAGCAGCAATGCTTACATTGCTGTGTTTCGGTTTAAAAGATGGGATATAGTAGTGAAATCATCACTCAGAAATTAATCCTTAGGAACTGTGTCGCTCATGATAATCTAACGCATAAGGGTATCATGGGCGACACAGTATACTCTGATATGTCCATGGCAGGTACTATTCATGTCAATAGGCGACGGTTATCACTTTCCATCAGGAGAGCCGTTAGCTTGTTTGCCATTTTAAATGTCATAAAAATTAACCAAATCTTTTTAATCTATATTTCCTTCTTTCAGGATAACGGGCGGAGAACTATTCGAGAGAGTGATTGACGAAGACTTCGTGTTGACAGAACGAGCTTGCACAGTCTTCATGCGGCAGATATGCGAAGGCATCGAATTCGTCCACAGACAAAATATATTGCATTTGGACATGAAGGTAAAATTGTGATTGAGCGCACTAACACTTCTAACTTGGCTATGTCCATGGCTCAACTGTGCCAGACATGCCACCACCAAAGGTTGGCAAAGGGAAATGTTCTTTTGTTTAAGTGCAAATCTTCCGTGTATTTTGTAAAGTAAAAAGATGAAAATAAATGCTAATGTGCTTTAATCACTAATGGTGTAGACAATGGCATTGCGTATACTGTGATTAATGTGAAAGTGAGATTATTTTTTATTATCTCTTGGCTCATTATGAATCAATTTAAATGAATGATGAAATTTGTCATAAACGTAGTAGTTGAAGTGAAGATCGATATATGCACATGAAATTATAGGAAAAGCAAATTATTAATAATGGTGATTTTCCTATTTAGTATACTTCGACAGCATCTTTAGAAATTTATATTTTTAATAAAAAAAAATATAAGACACGTATGATTGTATTTTATAATTTGTAAATAATATTTATTTATACTATTAATTTGTAAATAATTGTTATTCTGATTTTTATATACGGTGACTAAACTTAGTCTAAACCTAATTTCGCGTATTTTAAAATCCCATATTTACATATGACAATATGGCTAAACTTCAACTACCTAATTTCCGTCTATCTAGCCTAATTAAACTGATCCAAGTGCAATACCAATCTGGTGTTGTAATCATAATAACAAATGGCATTTCGCTCGATCCGGATAGGTATTTTGGTTCGAATCCAAGTGATAAATCAAAATGGCGGAAAAGCATGCGCGAGAGTTTTATGATTGTCTGTCGGTCGCTCCGTCTCGATTGTTTATCTGTACTTCTTTATTCCTGTCAACTTTGCAATCTTCTTACGAAAATATCTGTTTTTTTGTTGTTTTTACTTCTACAGTTACACGCTCGATATTTATAAATCTATCTGCTACAACTTGTACAACAGACCTATAAATTGTAGCTAATTTGAAACTATATTTTCTGATGAGTAAATTTGTATATTTAGTGATAACCAACATGGTCTAAATAAATAAGGGGTATTTTGACCGCAATTTTTTTTTTACCTATGTTTCTAAAATACTGGTCAGGCAGACCAGTATTTTGGATCTAACAAGAAACAATCCTCGATGGTCATTTTAGTCATCCAAGCTTATAATATTATAACTTATAATATTTTTTTTTCGCAAATAAAGTGTCCATTATCGTATGTATACCAAATTTCATGATAATAACCATTGAGTTGTCAAGAAGTAACAAACAAACAAATTTACTTACACATTTCATATTTATAGTATGGATAATTTAAGTATAATATTTCTAATTTATTTTTGTCTCTTTCTTATAGCCGGAAAATATCCTGTGTCTAACAAAGACAGGTAACCGAATAAAAATTATAGACTTCGGTTTAGCGCGGTTCTATGACCCGGAGAAGAAATTGCAAGTATTGTTCGGCACCCCGGAATTTGTCGCGCCGGAGGTTGTTAACTTTGACCAGATCGGTTATGGTACAGACATGTGGTCGGTTGGAGTAATATGCTACGTCCTGTGAGTATAATTTTATTCTTCTATTAAATAAATAGTACCTACCAAGTTATTTTCAGAAAAGACTATCGATTTTACTAGTTAACTCGATTTAAATCATAGTAAAATTAATGTTAGGAATAATCTTATATTTTAAAAGGTAATCGTTAAAATCGGTTTACATTTGACGAAGATATCGCGTAGTTTTCTACTTTGTAAGTTGATTGAAAAGTATCAAAATGAGTTTTTTCAATCAATAATTCTATATATAATGACAAAAACTCGACATGTTATCAGCAAGACATATTGTTAAGAACTTTTTAATTTCTCGTATGATCTAAGGCTTAAAAAAACCTGATAAATTGCAAATTGAATCATTTCATGTTTTTAGGATCATAAAATATTAAATTAAATTAAATACTATTATTAAAATAAGAATAAAGTTTTTAATTAAATTTAATTACAAAGATGTACAAAATGATTCTTATTAGAGTTGATCTACCTTCAACAGAGATATAGGAAACTATATGTGTATAACAGAATGTTTTATATATGTATATATAACATTACTCATTTCTTCTCTTTACAGTCTATCGGGTTTGTCTCCATTCATGGGCGAAACAGATATAGAGACAATGGCAAATGTAACCGTAGCAAAATATGATTTCGATGATGAAGCCTTCAATGAAATCTCTGATGAAGCCAAAGATTTTATCAGCAAGCTCCTTGTGAAAGACAAAGAGTAAGTGAAATACTCATTTAATATTATATTTTCTTTAATAAATCGCAGAAGCGATTTATTTAAATATATCAATATTTTATCGCCTATTTCTTTTTTTATACATGTTCAGTATATATACATGTACAGAACTAAATCAAAATCATTAGCATTCTTTTCAATATTTTGTACGAATAAAATTAAATCTCTTTTGAGAAAATCTTTTATGAAAATGAGTCGAAATACAACAAAAAACTCAGATCCTTCCATACTAACATAGACTTGTAAAGTCTTTGTCATTGCATGATTTATAGTTTATTTTTATTTTTCCCCCTTTTTTATTTTCTAAAATTTTTCTTGTTTTTAACACTTGTTTCTTTAAAAAGAATATTCAATGTTATTGATAGTAAGTACACTCCTTTACAAGAATGCTAATGATTTCATTTTCTTCTTACATAGTATTTTCTATACGCTAAAGAAAATAGGCTTGCTCTAAAATTCTCCTTTTCATTATTTTATAATATTTGTTGTTTATTATTCGAATGAGACTTGTTTTAATAACCTTTCTAAGGACAAAAGCTATAAATGTTTATATTATCAATATCATATCTTAAAAAATACTTGAAAAGCTGTATTACTCAGCCTGTCGATAAAGACCCTTTGTTACATGTTTTAATTTCACCAACACAATAAATATTGTAGATAACTAACAATTATTACATTTTTTTGCACGATATAAATATTTGTAACTTACAATAGGTGCTAACCTCTTATGTGTTTAGTTAAGTCCTAGAGTAGAAAGTAGAACTATATTTATATCCACTTATCTCAAGCAAAGATTATATGTATATACCATATATTGTTGTGTATTATAAAAATATCTATTGTAATCTTTATTCATTGAATAGAAGCTTTCGAATATGCACGCATCACTTATCCTTCTGATACATCCATAAATGCACACCATCGTAGGTGTTGGGGTTCATAGTAACAAGGGTCTTTGTCGCAGGTCACGACCCAGTGCCACGGAGTGCTTACGCCACCAGTGGATCGTGAAAAGACCCCCAGTGAAGAAAGACAAGCCACCAGTACCGCAGCCCTCTCCAAAACACGAACTAGACGTAGCAAAAGACAACCTCCGACTCTTTGTTGAGAGGTGGAGCGAACATCCCAACTCTCCCTATATATTCGACAACCAATCACATGAAATCACCACTCTAATGAATGGAAATTGTGAGAAGTCGTCTATTGGAGGTTGTTCGCCTTCTCCGAGAAGTTCCCTCAGTAGTTCCCCAGATGTAATTTTCGATGAAGACGATTTAGAACCACCGCCATTGAGAGAAAATAACTTCTTGTCACCACGATATAATCCCGTAGAACGACGAGCGTCAGACAGTACTTGCTTTCTACATAAAAAGCAAGATGTGATGGTTAGGAAAAACCTGGCCGAAGAGATAAAGAAGTTATCAGATCATCTATATATGCTTTCAACGATGAATACAGATTTAGCTAATAACAACAATACGAAAGAGCTAGACAAGAATATTACGGAAAAGTCAGTTATGTCAAAAGAAGAAAAATTACCAAACGGTTTCAAAAAGGAATCCAAAACAGTAATTAAGACAATAACAAATGGTGACACCACTAATAAAGAAAAGAGGATATTCACATCAAAGTCCAGTCACAAGTTAACTTCAACATTCTTCTCAGAGAGGGAACCAGAAAAGCCGATGACTAGCAAAATGCCGTGGGCCAAATCGACGAGGTCTAAACGAGTTACAAATATGAGCAGAGATGTTCCCGATCAACCTATTGACAGGCGGAACAGCTTCTTCCAAGAGTTTGATAAGCGTAGAGAACAAATTGATAAATTAGTAAATGGCCCAGAAAAAAGTAGACAGATGCCTTACAGGAGAGGAGATGAGAACAATGCTCACAGAACGAAGGATCTACTGTTGCATCTACTAGAAAAATGGGGAGAGACAGAAGAAGTTGAAGCTGAAAGGACGGCGGGGGGCACTTCGAATGGAGGAAGACACCAATCGATATCCTTGGAGTGGTCTCCTTCAAATCAACTTGCACAGAATTCCATGTCGAGCCTCCACGCCTTCTTCCAGAGACAGACGTCAGATGAGAAGATACAACGGAAAAAAATCACAACTGAGATGAAGAGTTCCAAATGATTCTTGTTTTGACACACGAACTTCTAGTGCCATGACAATGGGACGCTATTTGTCCATGTTGTAATTCTAAAAATCCGAATTTTTATAGAAGTCAGTTAAAACAAAGTTGTAAATGATTAATGTTAATAGTAAGTTACCAAAGTAACTGATTGAGATTACGCTATGTTTAATTTAAGTCTACCTACTTACTTTATTTATAAGAATGGCAGTAAATGACAATGTTACGAATCTAGTCTCCATACACAAAGTTCCGTATGAAACCCGAATGGCATGCAAGACTGAGGTGCGTTTTGGTAATGGCTATCTTAGACAATTCTATCTAGGTTGATATCTAGGTCATTTGGAAGCGATGTTAAGTTGCCACTTCTACGAGCGAGTATTGCGCAGCGATAATATATAATATCATGTATCTAAACGACGATATTATGTTGTCAGAAACATACATGACTTGTGACAGGGCTTTTTGCGGGTTAATACTCGCAAAAAGCGCTTGTTTACGGTTGTTTACGAAAGCCGTTGTTTACGACTCGGTCTTGTTGAACCTTTAGAAGCGTAAATTACCACTTTTAAAATTATCTACAATTTGAGCAACTAATTGATTTATGAGAATTCGAAAAATAGACCTTTTAATAATTCTTAGATAAAAATTTATTCAGAGAGTTATATTGTGTTTTCTCGTATAAAACAATCAATCAGAAGAATTGTAAATATGAAGCTCTAAATAACAACGTTCAACGTTCGCTTCGAATCGCTCTTTGACAATTTAGTGTTTTTGTGGCATGGCAAGTTTACGGCGATATCACAGAAAATAAACATTCACCATCATAAATAATACAACGTTTGGCAAAAAGCCTCATTTCAAATATCCCAATAAACTCGCAAGTAGATGTGGTCCTTAAGTCATATACGATGTTAGGCGAAAAACATATTAACTGGCAACACCACGCAGCATGGCGCGTGTGCGCATTTTTCATTGTTGTATACAAATTTCTGAATGTGTGAAGTACTATAACTAAAAATGCATCCAAGTTCGTCATTGCGCGTAATACGCCTATCGCTACAAGTATATATAATACTATATTAATATTACGGTATCACACTTGAAATCCACGTTATATTATCGGCACGCGTATTTTGGATTTTCGCACCACTCTGTGTGGTGTGGCCAGTGTGTTTTCCGCCTTACAGTTTTAATTTTAAGATTGTTATTCGTAAATACGATTTGACAATCTAATTAAAAATATATAGTGGTTACTTTTTTACTTTTCTATATACAATTATTGAGATATACATATTTATACAATTGAAGATTCAAGTCTAATTATGAATTCATTAATTGTATCGTTCCTTGTCCGTACTTATTTTTAATTTATTTTATTATTACGTAATTTATTGTTACACGATACTTACGTTGTTAAAATATAAGGCTTTAAATAAATATATAGTTGTTTTATTCTAAACATGTCTGAACTGTCTGACAATAAAATATATATTTCCCACCATTAGAAAAATAAAAACTTAGTTCATTCGATTTCGTTCGAAAACCTTTGACGCTCTTATTTCTATAAAAACTTAACACTTAGTTGACACCACATAAGATATCCCATTATACAATATTTCCACTTTTTAGCTGAGTCATGATAATATAGATCATATTACGCACATTTTGTTCATTCTACCTTTACTTGGATAATTTTAGTACTTAGCTGAGTTAGACCACGGAATATATTATTATTTATAGTTTCTTTAAGAAATAATTTAAAATTCTGTCATGCAACATAAGTCTATTTAGTATTTTTACAAGATATCGTTATAAATATCGTTAATATGGTACATGTCAAGAGACATCTTTTGAAAATTTTAAGTTACAAATGTAAATTGTTACTGAATTTTATGATAAATGACCTTTGGCTCCCCTGATTTTTCGAGAATTGGAAATATACTATCATCTACTGACAACTTATGGTAAATGTATCTATTTACCCCTTGATAAATACTAGTAAGTAAATAGAATCACCCTATCCAAACTAAAAAGTAGTAGTTCGCCTCCAAAAAATAGTATAGGTAAGGCATAGGATCGTCCTACTGAACTTACTAATTAAAATATAAAATTAATGGAATAATTAGCAAATTTTTTAGAAAAATTAAATGGAATGACGAGAAATTCAATAAAACATCATTATCTTTGCATTGCATGATTTTTAATCTTCAATGCCATCTGGCAGTTCTTTATATTCTCGTTACCATTAAATGATTTTTCTACACACAGGCACTTTGCCTAAAAAGTAATCATATCATCATCATAATAGCCATTTTGGGATTTTGCCAGTAATTGCCACGCTTGGCAGATGGAATGGCAATCGCAGTTACCAGTTAAGCTTTGGTGATGTTTAAAAAGGAACGCTGACATTCAAACGAAAGGAAGGTTTGACCTATTCTACCTTCATATATTTCTGCTATTCTTGCCAGGATGTGGTCCCGGCATAAAAATGGCCAAAACTCATAAATTTTATTAGTAACTGTATGCAATATTATCGTATACGTTGTTTATCTTATCTTTTGAAAATGTAAATCAACTAATAATTGACCAAATCAAAAAATGACAGTTTGCTGTTGCAAATAAAAAATCGAATTAAACATTTTGGTTTGTTATTAATTTTATTTCCACAAAACTTTGTTATCTTTTGAGTTTTATTGAAACTTTGACACACTGTTTAAAGTGATCGGCTACCGGCATCGGCGACGATCACCCATCCCTGGCTAATACAGTCAGCGCTCTGCACCGAACTGCACGTCACCAAGACGAAACTAAAACGGTATGTTATCAAGAAGAGGTGGGCGAAGGCAGTGGCAGCCGTCATAGCACTGAAAAGAATGGGTGCCAAATTCGACGACGTCCCTGAAGATGCAGAACAGAAGCCTTGACACGAAATTTCCTTTATTGAAGTCGGTTATAAATACTGACATAGGAACTGAATGCGAGTGGCTTATGGAATCACTTGGAATTTTTATTTCTATTGCATTATGTCTTTAAAGTTTCAATTCAAATGTAACCTAAGTGAGACGCTCGCATCAGTAGCCCATTACAGTATTTTTAATCGATCAATTTATTCTATTATTTGTAATCAAAACAGTAACTTTTCTTCTTTTATTCTTCCCATAGGTATCGCCCACACACATAGAAATAAACCCCGCAACAAATCACTATTAAACAATTTATCCTGATGTCACAAACGCTATTTCGATAAATAAAATCCGTCTCGCACTAAACAATTCTGAAAATACCATTCGTGATGCTGTTTTCGTCAATTCAAAGTGGGATATGGCATATTGGCAGTAAAATTACAGAATTAACGCATGAGAAATACCATGGACTGTATTACACGTTTCATGACATAAACTATCATTTTATTTGCCATTCCCAGTTGAACAAAATTTTCTAAACTTTGAAACTTGACTTTTTGAGGCATTTATATGCCCTATAAAATCGAGTTCAATTCTCTCATAAATATAGGGTCAACATTTGACATGCAAAATTTAAACAACTGAAGCATCTATTACAATAAACTACATCCACCTTTTTCCTTTCTTTTGCCTACCTACATTCTTGTTTTAAACTCTTTCTATGACTTTCTTTTCTCTTTATAATAATATTCATGTCAAACTAAAAACTCCAATTTTCATATTTTTCTGTCTTTACTACATATATTGCTTATCGGTTTCTTTTTTGACGTTAGCTAAGTTTTCATCCATCGCCTTAATATTCTAACATACCTAAATTATATATATATATATATATATATATATATATATATATATATATATATATATATATATATATATATATATATATATATATATATAAGAAGTACACATAACGTATTTCCAAAAAATTTAAATATACAAATAAGCATTAGTTGATGCTAGTTGATGTTGCTATTTGCTGTATTCCAGATCTGTAATTTGCATTTTAATCTCTAAACATAGTCACAATAACGACATTAACTTTTCTTTGTAGAATAACATTATTAGCTTAACAAAATACCTCAATATGTACAAGAAATGAGGTATTGAGTTCCTATTCGTACGTCTGTAACATTATGCAGCTTAGCTATATGGGATGAAATCGAAATCATTAGCATTTTTTTTAAATCTACGAGTGAGTTTAAACATTTTTCTAAAAAAATATCGATCATACTCTTAGTCTTATGACTGACGAAAAATTAGAGCTTCCCATACCATTTTAGCTTTAGTTGGTAGCTGAATGCACCATGCTTGTAGAGAAAGACAGAGTGGTGTAATCGCCTATGATAACGGTATACAATGGAGAGAGCAGGGCATCAGTGATGGATGAAGCCTAATCAATTGGCAGATATCCCTCCTCTCCGGATGCGCTGTATGGGATATGGGAGTTGTTGTTGTTTATATCGGAAAGTTAAAATTTATTCTTTTTTTAGCCTCATATTTCTCTAAGAAAAATGTTCAGTTTCCTTGGGAAAAATGTTAATGTTTTCGATTCAGTCTGTATATCTGACCTACATTTTAATATAGATAAATAGGTATATTTTTAAAGTAATATCTGAAGATATTAAAGTGCTGTTAAGTGTGCCAAATTACTTACACTTAAATTATAAGTACCTAACAATATAAGTAAATATAACATGTTTTGCTAACACTTGGGTCTCCAAATGATCTGTTACTTTGTTTGATATTATAATGATATAATTTAATAAATAAGTAACTATTTTTATAAGAATTTAATAAAATGAAAGACATAACTATTTTTAATAATTAGTTTGTGCTAATCTAGATTTTAAGTTTGTTATTTTAATTGTAAAATAAAATCTCATAATAATAGTTAAGTAGTTACGTGCCCAATTCTCATCTGAAATATATAGATTATTTTGTGGGAAAATATAAAAATGCATTTTATTTGTAGTGAATTGGGTATTAATTTTGGTTTTGCAGTTGTTTTATATATATAATTTCGTTTATCAATATAATAGTTAAAATAATGAATCGCACTTTGATAATTCTGTCTTAATTTTTTTTATACCACTGAGGTAGCAAAAAAGCATACAGCTCACCTGTTGATAACTGTAACCAATGGCTGGTAAGCGTAGCCTATGAACACCTAAATATTTCTTGCCAATATATGAGGCTATTAATAAGTAGGAACTTTTACCAAAATTTGTGAAATTGTTCAGGACGTTAATTTAGTGATACCTTTTTTTTACTAAAAATGAGTAGTAGTCCAATCCAAGTATTTAGAATTATCAACAAAAGATGTCGACACCAGATTCAATATCTCGGTTTCCATATGAAATAACTGTTGTCACTTTAGTCCTCCTATCACAGAATATCAACAGCAGCCCTACCTACATTGACATCGTCAGTTACTTTTCAAGTGGTTATTAATACAAATTTTATACTTTCTAAAAGGCCTGATAAAATCGAAAAAAAACAATAAGTTAAATCATTTTAAGTAGGCATTCTTTTTAAATTATTTGCATTCGTAACATTAATATACAAAAAATGTTGGTTATTTTTATTAAGAAATTTTATAAAAATAACCACTTGATTATTTAACTATTTGAACCTAATATATAAGTAGTAAAACTAAGCTTTTCTAAAATCTATCTCCTAGTAAGTCCTCCATTATGGGTATGAATATTGATTGATGAAATAAAAATTTTCACTACAAAAATACTACTTCAATTGTAGCAAAATGCCACGTAACATATGCATAAAAAATGCATTTGAATTAAGAATTCCCTTCATTTTTCTCTTAAAAAATCTACTTTGACGTTATTTTCATATTTCTAAACGTCTCAAATATAGAATCTCTATACTATTTATAAAGATTTCAGTTGAAATTCAACAATCTTGATTCTAGTTGGTAAAGATGAACTGATCTCCAACAAATATACACACATATCTAGATCTGATAAGTTTTCTAGAGAAATTAATTAGATTTCCAAAAAATAACGCGCAATATATCGTCAGATTGTAATCTTTTGAAATATAACTGCTATATATGAAAAATTATCTTGAAATATTAGAGATAGTTGTATGACAACCAGCAATAGGTACGTTAATATGTAAACTTAACTATACAATTACAGCTTCTTTAATTAATTTCGAATTGTGTGAATTAACTCGTAAGAAATTGTTTTAAAATCTTATAACATTATCAAACATTGTTATTTGCATTTACATTTCATGTAAAGCCTACTCAAGTATGGAATAGTGTGGTAGCTTAACACATCTTAGTCCTCAGGAATGGCACGAAAGGTATCATAGGCGAAAAGACTTTGTTATGTCCATGGTACTGTTCGTATCTAAGTATAGGCAACAGTTACCGCTTTTCATCAGGTGGACCTTGATTGCCATTTTAAATTGCATAAATAAAAGCTATAAATTTGCAAGATATCCTATAGCAAAGGCCTCCCCGGCACTTCACCGTTATCCATGTTTGATAAGGCTTCAACGATTATTTAACATCATGTACTATTATAAAAATTAGGTATCACAAAAATGTGTTCAATTACACAACGCATTATTGCGTTGGGAATGGGAATATATAGCGATAATGGTAACTAAATTAAAAGAATTCAAACTGTTTTTATGATTTTTTATTATTTTAAAAACACCCAATGATATCGCACTGAGAGACAACAATCCAGTGTGATACCACTCGATGATAAACGCATAGGTATTATCGGTAAGATTTCTGGTATCTGGCGCGGGCACCTGGACCACCGAACTTCTTGGCTTCGCAGCGACGAGGATCGGCTACTAGCAAACTCCTGTCATATTGAACGAGAATGTCTTTGATCTCCTTCTTTGACGCCTCGTCTACATCTGGAATTAGATTAGTTTGTATGAGTATAGGATCTTAAAATATCAATATTAATTGAAAAGAATAAAATACTCTGTTACCAGAACTAGATGAAGAAGCCTTATCAATCTACATTTTGTACATTGATTGACATTGACTTTAGATGTAGTTTGTAAATATTTTTTATAACTTGGCAAACAAGCATACAGCTCGTCTGATGGTAAATGGACTCTGTAGCCTATAGATGCCTGCAACACTAGTTCCTAGTATTTTTTAAGCTATCGTAGAAAAAAGTAGGGCGACCCTGGGATGAAGTGACGACCACAAGTGTTGTAAAGAGTCAATGGATGCTAGTAGCGCGAGATCATACTTTGTGTCGAAATATGAGGAAAATCAGCAGTGAACAATAAATGTCATGTAACATGCTGATGGAAGTCTCCTTACATATACATAATGTTAATTAGTTAATAAATCTTTTTCTATTTATATTACAGGAACATAGATCACCACATTCACATACCTAACATTAGGCATTTTTTTAATTTACAGTGTGTTAAATGGTTTAAGTAAAACTGTAGTGTACACTTCAAACAAGCAAGATATTGATAATTCATGCCGTTTGGTAAATGTCACATTTGATCTCCTTTCTCTGAAATGACTGAATCACATGGAATGAGACAGCTTTGGAAAGAAAGGGACAAAATAATAAATTTAAGCTCATTCATATTACAAAATCTTAGTGTAACAAAATTCTTAGTTATAAAAATACTTAAGTCTTTTCCTTGGAAAATATAAAAATTTTTACATTTTTATTTTGACTATTACAAAACAAAGCTGGACATCTATACTCTAATGTCCATAATGTTGTAACTGTCTGTAGGTGACTGTTATCATTTTTCAGGTAAACAAAGTGACTATGCTATTGCAATTTGCATAAAATTGTGCCTCATTCTCACCTATTATTGCAGTCAAATATTTATAAATGCATGCTAAGTTCTGGTTTTAAAGTTGAGATACAATAGTGACATATCAAAAGCAAATGTTGTCTATGTGTTTATGCAGAACTGTGGCTATTAAAAAACTTCATGACTGCCCAAGACAGAGTAATATTTTTTGCTATTATATAGTACAATATTAAAGTAACATAAAAAACTTACATTTTTGATAGAATGCGATGAGTGCCTTCGAGATGGCTTGTCTGATTGCATACACCTGTGCCACATGACCACCACCCTTGACAGTCACTCTGATATCAACGCCAGAGAACTTTTCCTATAAACCATACAATAACCATATTAAAAAAGGTGCTATTTACTATATCCTATACATAATAATTTATAATAACAATCAGAACCCTTAATTTACTTCACATCCTAAGATGCTCAGGTTCGGAATAAGATTTAATCATCATGTACAATAATAATTATGATTTTAAAATAATACAACTCTGTTTAAGACAAATGAAGTAAAATGCATTAATAATAGGGCATATATTTGCTGTAAAACTATTTTCTAATACATAGCAAGCAAAACAATAAACTGGAAAAGATACAAAATTAATTTGTATGGTTTTAGAAAGTAAGACAATGAGGAAATTGCACTAATGTGAAAGCATCATCAGTAACACATACAAGAAGCAAACAAAATACAATTTTTTAACAATTTTATGTTTTTAAACATTATAATTTTATAAATATTTGCTGAATGAATCAATAAAAATCTTTTGACATATTTGCACATACCCTATTTTAATGAAAATATGTTAAGAAAAAACAAAACAAACTACAACTACAGTGTGCAAATCAAACAAATAAGTACATTAATGAGCATATTAAAATGTGAAATAAACATGCAGGGTTAAAGCAATAATACATGCACAATCTATCACTATCACAATTTGGTTAAAAAACTTTATCTTTTATTAATTTCATGATATGATAGCAGTTGCTAATATAAACTAATGGGTTCGGGCAGAGAATTATAATATTCAAGAGCAATTATAATATATAGCCTATATATTAATCAACAATTATTTTTTTTAATAGAACTAGCATAGTAAATAAGCTAATAGTCCAAACTGTGTTCTTATAATAAACAAGTATCCACATTACATATCCACACAGCACATTAATGTAATTTTACAAACTGACCTTTCCAAGCAATAAGATAGGCTCCTGCAATTTGTATTGGAGGAGACGGGGCTCCACAAGATCCAATGGGCGACCATTCACCCGAAGCACCCCACGGCCACGCTTGCAGTATGCAACTGCTGTGGCAGTTTTCTGAAATCAATAAAAATATACACAATTACCCACTTATTCATAAAAATAGCTCATACCTCTATTCTAGCTCTCTACTTAAAACAAACAAAACACTAATAATTAGTTTTTATAAATAAGAAAAATGTTATTTAACAGTTTATCAAGCCTTTCTCAATCCCAGTCTCGTAATTGGACCATTGTAAGAATATGTTTAGTATAACCCACCCTGATTAAGAAAAGGATGGCTTATATTTCTGCAAACTTTTAAAAGATCAAAACCAACTAGTTGATATCCAAATATATCCTCCATATTAGTAATAGGTGCAATATATCTATTATTGAATTCTAAATGGAAACTATTCAAATCAATAGTGTATCTAAGATAATTAATTGTAAACACAAATAGATATAATAACAATAAATAAATTTCTTAGCAATATATATATAGCGTTAGTTTTTATGTGAAGTATTTATCTACAAATCGTATTTTTATACTTAAATATAGAATATTCTAGGTTAAGTTTAAAGGTAAAAAAATATTGAGAAGCTATATTCGCGATGTTGTTGCCGTCTAGACCAACCAGAGGATAGCCATACAAGTTGGCTGGGAAGGCGGTAACTATGTTTTACCTTTCTTATATGTGCCCATTGTAAATATTAGGTTACAACAGCCAAGGCACGAAAGGAGTTAATGTTTGTAACTTTACAATGTCGCTTAGTATTTGTGAACATAAGTCTTTATAATAAAAATTTCTAAAATGAATATTACAAGTTATTATAGAATTATTTACAAAATAAAATATTGGAAACCGCCAGAAACACGTGGACGAACAAATTGGTACTCACTTTACGTCCGAATACTTGGACGGCCTGGATAGGTTCACGTCTCGCCTGAAAATAGGAAATAGTGAATTAATTTAGATAAAACAGGTACTTAAATTACTAGGGTTTTAACAATTTCGTTGTATATAAAATTCGATATAATGAAAACGCACCTCTTGCACGGCCGCCATTTTGACAGAGAAAGAAAGAATGATTGATGGAATTGAATGAATAAATGCTGACAATTTTTTTTTAGCAGAGAGCTAGTATTGCCATTACGCGATTAATAAACAGAATAAAAAAGGATATTGAAGAGATGGGAAGGATTTGATAATAGTGATTATGGACTTAAATTAAATATAAATGATTATAAATATAAATAAGATAAAAAATATAAATTATTGAAATGATTGAGAATTGAGTCAGTATTTGTATTCATCGTTTTGTTATTTTATCTCACGCAATTAGTTTTCAGTATAATAACCGAAATATTTATAATATTTTATAATATTACATAAGTGAATGTCATTATTTTTATATATTTTCTATAATATAATAATACAATTTTTCTAAAAGAATATGTGTATAAATCCGATGCGACATACAAATATTTATAACAACAGAACGTACAGAATTACAAATTAATAGTATGTTTTAATTCAGTAGTACAAAACATCAAAATATGATATAATTTTTGTACCAAAATACATATTCTGGCATCTCTATAGAAGATTTCGTCCATAGACTAAAATTATTCTATTCACACAACGTAGATTAGACCTATAAATTACCGACCGTAACTCAGACAAAAGTATATATTTATCTTTAAATTTAATATTAATATAAATCATCCCAATAATAACCTTTATTAATATTTTTCGTTTTAAATTACCAATAATATCACACCTACAACTATGAGATATACTGAATAAATAGTGCCACCTGGTAATTTCTTTTGGCAGCACTAGTATTCATGTCAAATAAAAATATATAGAAACTATTTCACACTAGAGGGAGCTTTTATTATAAAAGTAGTCTCTACAGTAAGCAACACAGAATCGTAAATGTTTGTTTTGTTTTGTATTCATTGAACGTAATCGCTTGTGTTGAGTCGTGCGGTATTCGATCGGTAGCGTACGAGTGCATAACAATGCGCTGCGAAAAATCTAACATTCCCGCGCGAGCTTAAACTATAGCAAAACAGTGTGAACAAAAATTGTTATAAAGAGAAATTTGTGCGTTATTGTTTTATATAATGAACACAGTTTGTGTTGAAACAATTTGAACTGGATTTTTGTATTCATCGCATAATTATCCTACACTTTTGCTTCACTTGGTAAGTTAGAATCTTAGATTATAGTTAGAATATTATTATATAATATTACCTAAATAAAATTAAGTTCCAAACAGTAATACAAAAATACTTAATACATGTTAACTAATTTAATAAGTACTTTAAGAGTACTCTTTATAACTACTTCTTGAACGATTTGTGTTAAGAGTTTGAGACTATGTGCTGTGTGTCACAAAAAACAATATGATTCATTTATTGGAATGTGGGTACTTCACTAGCTGGTAGTTATTAACGTAGGCACCTACGTTTTTTCATATTGTATTTTAGAAGGAAAACTGACTATTAAATTGACCAAGACTTATTACAGTTTAGAGTCAATTGTTCGAGTACCTATATTATATATATATATATATATATATATATATATATATATATATATATATATATATATATATATATATATAAATATACATATACAGCATGTAGCAAAAGCTACTAATTCCGATTCATCATTAAATTTATAAATAATAGTTTTTTATCACAAAATCTTTGCGTATAATAAAAATGTAAATTTTATATTTGTAAATAAGTATTTATTTAAATGTTAAAGAGAACAATTATTATTTTTTTTAATTAAGATAGGTAATTATTTGTAAAACAAATATAACATGTAATTCTATCTTTTTGTTAGAGTCTTAGTTAGATGGCACAAAATAACCAAGAAGCAATTTTACTGGATGCTTGATGAATTTGGTTTATTCTCAGTATTGAAAAAAAAAATACTTTCAGAATCTAAATATTATTGGAATACAACATTATAATAACTGCTGGTTATAAGGTAAATAATATGTTAAGTGATATTTAAACCAATTTACTTCAAACACTTATGATTATAAAACAGATACCAGCAATTCTACGGCATAGTCATGCATGATCAACATAAATATTCAGATTTATGAGAACTGTTGTATCGAACTTCCGCTGTGAAAAATTCCTGACAGCTTATATAAATGTTTGCCAGTACTGTTACCTACAATATATGTATAGCGTGTCACAGATAAATAAAACAATCTAAATTCAATATAAAACGTAATATATTTTTATTAAATTATTTATGTTATCATTTAAGTTTAAAAAAACATGATTGGCTTAGATTCGAAAATAATGTGAAAGGATATCACGTGATATCACACAATATCTTTTTTAAATATTTAGTTCAAGTTTTAGCTTAGTTTTACATTCCGTTATTAAATTGAGTCACTTCTAAAAAAGTAGGTACTTAATCAGCGAATCATAGACATAACATAGAATCATAGAATATTTACATGATAAAAGACAAAACTGGCATTGATAAAATTAAAATAAAAATTCATTTTTTTATTTGTTTTTTTTTTTTTTGTGCTTTCTCAGCACAATTCTGTCAACTACATAGGTGGTACCTAATAATGTTTGATGCACAGGATATAAATATTTTTAAATGAACATTTCCAATTAAGCGTTTAACGGTAAATCTTCATAATTACCTGACCAAGTTCCGCTCATAAACATTTTATTAGATTGTTATTATCGCCGTTTAGTTGTCAGTAATTGTAGTAATTTAGTTTTACTTACATTATTAATATTTAGTTAATTAGAAATAGGAATTCTCTTCAAATATTTAGTATATAATATATACTTATTAAAATAAAAATTTGCTCACAATTTAAATATTAATACAACATACAGAATTTTCTGTTTTACTCTAGGATTGACTGCTAAAAAATGCTTTTTAAACTTTTTATGATTGGTCAAAAAATATTATAAATAAATCATTATCATAGGTAATACATTTTTATAATAAATCATTGATTATACCAATTGTAAATTTCATAGAGCTTTCTAATTTTTTTTAAATAATATATAGCCTATGTTACTCGCTGGTAATGTAGCTTTCTATAGGTGCACAATTTTTAAAATCAATGAAGTAATTTTAAGATTATCCATTACAGTTTAATATACAAAAAATCAAATCTATTATTTATTATAATATTAGTTTTGATTATGATATTGCGGTATTATCATAAAAATAATTCCAACTGTATAAAAGTATTTTATACTTTTAGTATTGTTATTTATGTATATATTATACGTAGTAGTATATTAAAAATATAACTAATTCGATTTGTTCTGCTGTCACCTTGAAGATCACATCGATAGCGGACAAAAAGTTCGAACTGATGGAGTAAAAAAGTACTACACTCCGGTACAAAGATTATATAATTCACTACTTGTTGTATTATACAAAAAAAAAAAAATATCGGTACAGACGAATTTTTGTCATGATATCCACGTCTACGTTTTGCAATTCTACCACTCGTCATCGTTAATACACTACACTCATACTTAGGGTATCCAAAGGTAAAGGGTAGGGTAATCCAAATTATTAGTTCTCTCGTGAATATTCAGGCTAAAAAGAATTTCAGGTTTTTGTTGTTTAAAAGAAGTTTGAATTTAAATGAAGTTCCAGTTTGAAGTTGGTTTAAAGTTTTCAGAAGGGTTAATAAATTATAAAGTGATTGTGTATTCGTATATAAAGTTCCAAAAGGGATCGATGTAGCGCGCGTAAAGGTCAAAATTGGAGTTATGCCAAACGTACAGATGGACTGTATGCTTATTTGTCACAAAATGTGTTATAAAAAATAGCACTAGAATATCAGTGAGTAGTTTTTTTTTAAATCATATTTCTTTTATATTTAGTAAAATTAATGCAATTTACTATATATTTGTTTAAAAATGGAACTGTTTCGCCCATGAACCTCCCATGCGTTGCCATTCCTGAGGATTTTCTCTGTACCCAGTAAATTCACGCCATATCCCATCCTTCAAACCATGAAACACAGCTTCTGTGAAACACGATCCTGGTTTTATTGTTTTCAAATTCACATACCAAATTTGAAATGTTGCCGGTTTCGTTTTAATCTTATAATTCTAAAACATCAAATACATTTATTAGTTTAAACATTAAATATTATATATAATTATAATTTATATTACTAATAAATCAATCGAAAGGATGACATTAATAATCTAATCGACCTCTTCTCCAACTAATCAAAACATAATACTGAACTATTGGAATACCACCTTACATAATAAGAAAGTATTCATTAACTTAGTTTTTGGACATATCATTATTTATATAAAACTTGTTATACATAATATATCATTACATAACACATTATATTAGTTACACGTTATTAATGGTTGATGACACAGTAAAATATCCGTTCGTTCCGGATACTTAATTTTGCCAGTTTCTATGTGGTTTTGCTTTTGAAGACTATATTCAATCATTAATAAAGTTTATAAGGGTTGTGCCTACATAATTTTACAAAAAAAGTATGTATGTAAAATAACATTCGTAATAAACTTATTGTAATTTTTTTTTATACAACTTAGAATGGCAAACAAGCTGGCGACCCACCTGATGGAAAGTGTAACCATTGCCTATAGACATGAGCAGTACCATGAACAAAACAGAGTATACAGTTTTGCCCATGATACCCCCTTGCGTTGCACTTCCTGAGGACTAAGGTGTTATTCCTCTGTACCCTGTAAATTCACTGCCATATCCTACCCTTCAAACCGAAACAGAGCCATGCAAACACAACTGCTTTACGGTTAAAACATAAATAGGACAGAGGTATCCAAACAACTTTTGTAATAAGTCTCCGTCTGATATAAAATATTACTATGTTATATACAAAGTAACGCACCAATTTTACAAACTGTACACTTAAAATTAATTTGGAAATTCTTTTCGTATCTACCGCTATTTATTGCACTACAAAATCTAATTTAAAAAAGTTTAATTACTTTAATTAATTTTACATACAAACCTTCTGTAAAAATAACTCAATAATAGTGAAATGAAAAAAAAAAAAATGTGAATATGAAAACCTTTTATGTAGTTTTGAACTAAAACAGAAAATCAGGCGGGAACAACGACTGTTAAGTATATAGGTACATTTCTATTTAGCGGTCTGTCAATATAATATTCTTGCAACACTTGTAAATGTATATGGACGGACGATTAAGCTATGGCGGCGATTGTCCGACATAATCGAACCGTTTCGTGGCCGACATGCATCTATGTTGTCCGTAAGGCTTCCTGTGTTCGATGTACGTACCTGCTGCACTATCGATAGGGGTCAAGTAATCCGTTTAAGTCTCAAGTAGGCGAGCCTCGATTTCACATCTAATTTAATTTATAATTGACCACGCTTACAAATTGAACAAAGTAGTACGTCTCGTCGTAAATGTATAATTGAATTTATATAGCGACACTGTAAAGTTTGCTGTCATAATTCAAATACTTATTAATTTACATATTTTTCAATTATAATTTTAAGTAGATTTTTTTCTTTATAGCTATTAAAAATTATTAATAAGCATTGATAAATGACAACGATAAATTAAGTTACCAAATTTTTTTGATTAATACGCAATTTATTATAAAATACGTATATAAGATGATAATATGATGCACCGTGGACTTCACAGAATACATTGCCACGGTACCCTTCATATCAACATATTTTTATTTCTTTCCAGAGAATTGGAATGTTATGTGTGTCTCCATACTTCACTACCATGATCAATACAATAATGCAAACACAGCTGCGTGGCGGTAAATGAAGTTTTTATATAACTTGGAAATTTGAAGCACCAATCCACATCTGATGGAAAGTGGTAACCGTCGCCTGCAGTCATATCATTATGTATAATATCATCTCTAAGTTGTATTTAATACTAGCGCCTTGCCCCGGTTTCTCGCGGTTTTGTTTTATTATTATACTGTCCATATTATTCGCTGATAATACAGTATTCTATAAATGAAATAATCTTAAAATCATTTTTAAAAAACTAACATTATAAAACTTCATTTTATAATGTTAGTTTAGATACGTTGAATGCGATTTAAGTGACTTCAAAACATTGTCTTGTTGTATTGAATTTATAGTCGTAAGAAAACTAAAATATTGAACTTCAATGCTTAATTA